TGATTGATGAAATATTTAAATAATATGTATAAAATTTTATAAATGATAAAATATCATTAAAATATATTAATATTATCTAATATATTTCAATCATCTAATCTGAAAAAATAAATATAAAATTAAAATTTGATAAAAGTAAAGAAGAATAAAAAAAACCAAACTTATAGGACCTATGGAACAACTAAAATATGATTCGTTAAATTAATTTTATTGCATTGATTAGGATTTTAGTATTTAAGTTAACTAAATAAGTCATCACGATACGTAGTTGACATTGTATGGTTTGTTTACTTATATGTGTTTCTAACGCTTATAAGTTAAATTGTTAATTTAATAAATAATCTTTAATAATCTAACCGACATTTTCGCATTTCAATTTTTATGTTTATTACAATCTAAGCCAACTAGTATTATAAATTGTTCTATAAATATTATAATAATCTATAAATAGTAGTGATGCAAAATTCAATTGACATTGTTGAATTTGACTTAACTATTTCATTCTTATTTTATATCACATTCTGTCATATTTATATTAAAATGATAAAATTATATAGATTATTAAATTTTTAAATGACTAATAAATATTGTCATTTTATAACTAAAAAAGCATAGAATTTAAAAAAAATTAATTCAATCTCATTTTCAATAAAAAAATTATTAAAAACCACATAATTTCACACTTTATAAGCAATGTTCGAAATAATTGTTATAAGCAATTGTTTTTTTAAATAGCTTCAATTCTTGCTTTTAGTTAAATAAAATTCTATATATATTATTCTTGAAAAAAACTTCAATTTAAATATTTGTAGATGCATAGATACATTAGAATAAATTGATAAGAGTATAATACTGATTTAATAACTTAAAGCAGTAATAGTAAAACATCGAAGATGGTAATGTTTATTGAGATTATGATAAAAATTTTGAATATATGAAATATTTTCATTTATAAATTTTAATTGAAATATGCGTTTCTTTTATTATATCACAAAACAAATTTAAAATTATTTTTGTTCTAATTTTAATTAATTTTTATTTTAAATTAATATACATTTATATTTCACATTTATTTTTAATGTATTTGTCAATTTACTCAAAGTTGATATCATACAAATTTATCGTTTAAGACAATCATTGCAAGTCAAGAAAAATTTCAAAAGTATTTGAAAAGTAAAATATATATCGATGTTATATAATAGAAAATAATAGATTCGCGTTAATTCTGGATTGCTTGCTGAATACAAACAATTAAATAAGAAAATTCATAACTCAAAAAATTATTTGAAACTTGAAAAAATATTTCAAATCAATTAAATAATATATGTATATTGTAAAGTTTTAATTAATAGGATTTCATATATTTTGAATTTATTTTATTTAACTAATTTAATCAAACATGCACAAACGCATTAACTATAAATTTGATAAACAATAAATGCAATTAGAATATAAATATAATATTAATTGATGTAAGTTCGTATAAGTTAACATGAAATAAAAAAATAATTGAATTGTAAAAAATTGTTGTTTTCAAAACGGAAATTTCAATGAAATTAGTAATTTCGTGATTTTGTTGTACAGAATCTTCTATTTAATATCTTGTTATGTCCCTTATTATTTATATTATTTACGACATGATAAAAAATCAAGGAAAAACATTACATGAAAAAAAATATTATGAAAGAAATTTTTCTCAATATCATATTTTTTAAAATTTCAAGGATATTAAATTTTTTTAAAATGAAATTATATATTTTTATTATTGTGTTATGATGACTGAAAATCTATTATAATGATCTTCCAATGAATTTAAATAAATTAAATATTTATCAAAATTAGATAATTCATGAAAATTGATTTTAACACTAAGTCTGTTCGAAATAATATATAAATTTCGATATATTTATTTAAATGATTCATGAATACTTTTTTGTAATTCTCATATTATGATATATGATATATATAATTCTTATTATTTTTCGAAATTAGATAAATATCGACATGATAAAAATTTTAATACAAATTAAAAAAAATATTAAAATTGGTAAACATTATTTTAAATATTTGTTAAATTTATTTTAATATAATATATTTTAAATAAAATAAATTTATTTTTATTATTTATGTTTATTAATTTTTCTACAAGAATCATTTCGAGTTAATTTGAAATAACATTTATTTACCGATACATTAAAATAACTGATATTTTTGAACTTGCATTTTAATGTATATAGATTTATTACTTACTCG